AGCGCGGGGGGCCACGGGGTGCGCGCGGCGGCCGGCACCACCCCGCTCCGCGCTCCCCGCGCCTCTCCCGCCTTGTTAGCGGCAGCACGCGAGTGCTTTCGGAGCGCGGCAGAGACTCAGGCTGCATCTGCTGCCTTTCCCGCGTGACAGGCAATAAAGCTGCCAAAAGGCATTTGGGGGGCCATTGTACATGAGCAGTTTTATTCCCCTGCTCTTTCACGGCGTGCGGCTGATGGATGGCGCTTCAGTGGGATTCACGAAGGGATGAAAGCCGACATCAAACGTACCCGCTGGCTTTAACACTCTCTGAATTGCTCCCCAGGGATCGGAGGGGTTTTATAGGTACCCAGGGGCTTCCCTGCTCTCCGCAGCACTTCCCCGCGCTCCGTCCTCAGCGGGGCCTGGGCAGTTCACGCATCTCCAAACAAACAAACTCCACTGACCATCACCGCGTCGGGGCGACGCGACGAGGGCTGCCCATCACAGTGGCTCCCGGAGGATTGCGTGGAGCTCCCTGCTCCCTTGCTGGGCTGCAGCAGCGGCTGAGAGCAGGCACGGCAGCGCGCGCGCACCAAAACGACACCTTAAGGTGTCGTTGCCCTTCCAGTTTTATGGCTACTTATGAGGCCGAGGCCATGAAATGCCAGACACAGAGACCTTTCGGCGAGGACGGAAGGCAGCCGTGCTGAAGCTGAAGCAGGAGTTTTATGGCACTGAGGCTCCCCCAAAGGCAACGCTGCACAAGAGGATTTTGCTTTTCCGAGGAGGAAGACACCTGGAGCACGGCAGACGCTGCGGCGAGGGCAGGGTTCATTTCCAAGCGGCTCAGCCACCGTGTGGAGCTGGGCACAGGCTGCCTAGRGAGGGAAAAACAGACAGCTGCGCTTTGCTTTAGGGACATGCAGAGCCCTCTAACAGCAACAAACCCTTCATCTTAAAGATATACTAAAAAATACCATCTCAGTCGACAATAGCCATTCTTTCATTCTTTAGAAGGACAGCAAGTTCCGTTCATCATGAATAAGACAGGTGAACGCTATGAAGAAAAATGCACGTGCGCTAATTGGCAGACCCCAATGCAGCATCACATTGGGCACCTAGGCTATCCTAGGTACTTCCTTGGCTATCTGGGTAGCAGTGCTGCTGGGACCCCTTCCTCGGCACCCAACGAGATGGGGGGAGAGCGGGCGCCCGTGGGCSGAGCAGGGCCAAGGCCCCTCGAGGCAGCAGCGCCGCGGAGGACGGGGCGGCAGCATCAGCCCTGCACGACCACGGAGCAGCAGCAGCCGCGTCCTGCCAGGTGCTGGGGTTCTGCCCCCGTGCATGAAAGCCAGCGACTTCAATGACATTTTGCACGGGTAAKAATTCCTCAGCACCAAGTGCAGGCTGGGGAGAAATCGCGTGTGTGCCTCGGCGCGGAGGCCCYGGCAGGGAGAGGGCGAGGGGGCCCCGTGGCTGGGGCAGCGCCGCGAGCACCTCCGCCAAACGGRGCGTCCGTGAATGCTCGCTGCTGCATTTCTAATTACACCATTACGGGAACGTAGGATATTAGGAGTGGAGAGCCTGGAGTTTTCACTAAGGAGTCCCTCCTGTACATGACGGTTTTCAAGCAATTACATCCTCAGGTGGAGATTTCTACAAAWCAGGTGTTCAGAACCAGGCGGCGGTGCCCTGGAAAGCAGCAMGGGAAGGCAGTGCCGAAGGAGGTCAGAGACACAGGGGAGCGGGAGGCGGCCTGGGCGGCGAGGTGCTGCCTTTCAGAGCCGCTGCTCCAGGCCACGGGCCGTGCATCGCGGCGGCCTGCGCCGCGCACGGAGCCCGGCGGCCCCACGTGTGCCCCGCGCGGCCGGCGCCTCGCGCTGGGGCTGCCCCGTCCCCTGCCCGGGAATGCCACGCTCCGAGCCGCGGGCGGCGAGCGCAGCCCCGCCGGCTCCCTGCCGGCCCGGGAGCAGCTGAGGATGCACCGGGTCGGTCGCCTGTTCCCGTTAGAGGTACGGGAAGACACTGCTGCTAATTATAGCGCGGAGCAGCCTGCAGGTGCCACGCAGGGATGTCACTTGCAATGGCAATGCAGGATATAAATAAAGACCCGTGCACGCAAAAACAAACAGCAGCCCGTCAGGACAAGCGAGAGCTAACCCAACCCTGCCATTGCATTTGGTAATCTATCACAGCAGAGGAAGGAAAATGCATTTAATGTTTGGGGCTAGCAAAAATCTCCTCCTTTTAAAAATCCTTTTGCTATTCCTTCCTTCCTCCCTCCCTCTGAGACGGGAGCGCCTTCCAGCCTACCTAGATCAAATTGAAGCATATTTTCTGCTCTCCTTGGCACGGGTGTGCCTGTGCATGTCGCAGAACTCTGGTTCTCTCGCTTGCATCCTCAGGAGAGCGTCCTTAATGATGGGTTGCCATGGGCTCGGCAAGCGGGGAGGCCCCGCTCGGCACCGCGTGCCATTAACCCAGCGATTGTCACAAGGACGACTTCCCGCGTCGCCTTTATCCTCGGCAAGGGCTACAAAGAGCCCTGTCCMAGGCAGACACATCAATCCGAGCGCCTTCCCTTCGGCTCTGGGGCCAAGCTAGGGCTGCGCTGCTGCCACAGCCCCCGCGCGGGGGACCCTTGCCGGGGGCGCAGATCCCTTGGCATCCGCGGCGTGAATCCGCGTCCCGCGGCCGTGGGACGGGCGGCTGCGAGGGCCGAGAGGGCCGGCCGGGAAGCCGTGCCCGCCCGCAGCCCCGCTCCGCACAGCCCGGCACGCCGCGACGTTTCCCATCCGGGATAACGGCATGACGGGAATTGCCACGGGAGCGTCACTTGCCCTCCACGGCAGAGGAGGAGAGCGGGGCCGGCGCGCTGTGTCCGCGGGGGCGCGTGGATAACGGCTGCCCYAGGGAGCGGCCAGAGGGCTGCCCAGGCACCCGGCTGGGAACGGAGGTGCCAGAGCCCAGGGCAACCTCAGGGAAGGGCAAGGGAACGAGCTCTGCGGATGCTAAGGATAACGCGGAGCGGTCCCCTCCGCAGCGCCCCGGGAACGTCCCTTTCACGTCCCGCCTGACGGGGCGGCGCCGCGCGGGCACAAGCAGCGTCCCGAGGAGCCCGGACACCGACGGCGACCCCGCGCCGGGGAGCTCCTCCATTAGGGCCAACTGCAAAATCAAAGCGTAAATTGTGGAAAGAAAATCAGATTGATGAATTGATTTCAATTTTCACAATCCAGGGTGCAAGGCAGCAAAGAGTTCGTTCGCAAGCTAAGAACTCTGTCTTCCGTAATGGTGTCTCTTTCTTATATTGATTAATGTCTATATAAAGCATAGCATCTAATTTAGGACACAGTAAAACAATACTATATTTCTGCTGCAGAGCATCTGACGGGATTTAACGGAGGATCTTTGGTGCAAGCGCTGCAGGGAGCAGGGGCAGGACGGGGCCGCGGGGCAGCAACGCCGCACCGCAGGCACCCTGGCTCCATCCTTCGCGCAGCTCTTAATCCCCAGCTCCTTAGGGGAGGACATGCAGGAGAGCACGGAGGAGGACCGCGCCGCAGGCTTCCGGAGCTGCCAGCCTTGCGGGGGGACTGCGGATCAAGCGCTAAGCTTGATAAGTCCTTGTCAGACACACGAGCCGCTTGTACAGCCTCGTGGTTTGACCTCCGTGCACCAGAAATTATATTCCAAATCCCTCTACAAGGCCCAGCGGAGGCAATCGGAGTTTCAGCAGCGCACACCTACAAGCACTCAGGAAAGGCAATAGGATGGCAGCTACATCTGTCACACGCAGCAGAGGAAAGGAGGCCGCTTTCTCCCTTTTCCTGCTTTCTCCTCGAGCAGACGCAGTTACGGCGCTGAGCATCACTTGGGCTTGCCCTGCAGCTGCTGCCGCTGTCCTGCGGCGTGCTCCGGCCACATTACCTCGCAGAAAGGACATTGCACTCGCGGCAGCACGGCTCGGCGCCCCTCGAAGGGCGGGCAGGGCCGCAAGGACCTTCGCGCTCGCTCTCCGCGGCTCGCAGGCGGCTGAYGAGGCGCCGGGTGCCTCACACCGACCTGCTCCCTGCAGCGGAGCCGCCCGGGACGGAGCTGCAGGGCTGGCGCAGCGACCCTGCCTCGACAGCACGAGTTAACCTGGCTGTTTCATGTGCCCATTCCCACGGATGTGCTTCTTTCCCATTGCCTGTCCATCAAGGCTCATGACTACCAGCTCGTTATCGTAGCACCTGATGCCCTCCTACCATTTCTGAGCTGCCAGAAGGACGCTTCCATACTTTCCGACCGCGTGGCGTATTTGAGCATGCGACGCAGTGCACAGATCCCGTCCTGTCCCACGTGCATCGCCCGG